GAGTTTATGTTTAGATCTAATGTAGGTTACACCCAAAAAGATGGACTATGTCTAATTTAGGTTAGACCTTGGGAAAGGGTTTGGTTCAATATGACGTAGACCTAAAAGTTGAGCTACATCTAAATTAGGTTAGACATAGGGTTTATTTTAGGTCTAAGATGAGTTAGAGCTATAGGTTGGGTTAGGTCTAATTTAAGCTAGACCTAAAAAGATGGCTAAATTTATGTTGGGTTAAGCTTAAGGTTTAGGTTTAGGTCTAATGTCGGTTAGACCTCAAAAGGTATTTATAGATGTCTGGGTCTAATGTAAGTTAGACTTGAAGAGTTGTACTAAGTCTATGTTTGGTTAGACTTAGGGATTAGATTAGTTCTAATGTTTATTAGACCTAAGGAGATGACCATGTCTAAGTTAGGTTAGACTTGAGGTTTGGGTTTAGGTCTACGTTAGGTTAGATCTAAAAAGATGACTAAGTTTATGTTAGGTTAGGCCTAGGGTTATGTCTAATACGAGTTAGACCTAAAGTTTGAGTTAGTTCTTATTTAGGATAGATCTAGAGTTTATGTTTAGATCTAATGTAGGTTACACCCAAAAAGATGGACTATGCCTAATTTAGGTTAGACCTTGGGAAAGGGTTTGGTTCAAAAGGAGGTAGACCTAAAAGTTGAGCTACGCCTTAGGTTAGACATAGAGTTTATGTTAGGTCTAAGATGAGTTAGAGCTATAGTTTGGGTTAGGTCTAATTTATGTTAGACCTAAAATGATGGTTAAATTTATGTTGGGTTAAGCTTAAGGTTTAGGTTTAGGTCTAATGTCGGTTAGACCTCAAAAGGTATTTAAAGATGTTTGGGTCTAATGTAAGTTAGGCTTGAAGAGTTGTACTATGTCTATGTTTGGTTAGACTTAGCGATTAAATTAGGTCAAATGTGGATTAGACCTAAGAAGATGACCATGTCTAAGTTAGGTTAGACTTGAGGTTTGGGTTTAGGTCTACATTAGGTTAGATCTAAAAACATGACTAAGTCTATGTTAGCTTAGGCTTTTGGTTTGGTTTAGGTCTAATGTGGAATAGAACTAAAAAGATGACCAAGCCTAAGTTAGGTTAGACTTGGTGTTTGGGTTTAGATCCAGTGTACGTTGGACCTAAAGAGCTCACGACTAACTTAGAGCTAATATGGGCTAGACCCAAATTAAAACCCAAGTTAATTATGAGCCATGTCAAGCTTAACTGTGGCTTAGGCTTATTTCTAATTGGATTGTGTCTAATTTTGGGCTGACCTGGATTAGGCTAAGCCAAGTTACACCTAAACCAAGTTTAGGCTTAACATGATTTAGCCCAGGGCTACTTAGGATGAATTCATGATTAGACGGGTAAGCATGGTGTTAACCACTTAGGATCAAAGCTTTAAGGCTGGTTAAATTTCGTAAACTAAATTTGGGAACAATGTTGGGCTAAAGTGTAAAATTTTAATTTTATGATTTTACCACTAATTTTCTAAGCCTTATATTTAGGGATTTTAAATATGTAAATTATTATTTTAGGGATCAATTTCATTACCCTAAGTTTTCTTTTTAAATTTCATTTTTATTTTGAAATTTTTCATTTTTTTTTCTTCAGTTTTTGTAATTATTTATCAAAATAATAATCATTTTGATAGAAAAATTGTAATTTTCAAGTTAGGATCCCCATTGACCACAGAAAAATCATGGGATATACCCAAGATTTGAAGAAAAATCAACGTAAAATTTTAGATTTTTCCTCCCCATAACTAATTTTTAATAATTATAATACTTTCTGAATTTTTTAAATAATTAAAAATTAAATATAAGTTAATTATTGTTAATAACATTATTATTTTTTGTTTTCTCCTCTGTTCACTGAGTTCAGAGGTATTTCTATTTTATTTTTTTTTATTTTCCACACCAAGTTATGAATTTTTAAAATTTTATTTAATTTTTGGGATTTAAATAATTCAAATATCCAAATTTCATACATATAAAAGTTTTGCCACGTCATCTCTCACACGCTCTAAAAGTCGACGCTTCCTTCATCAGTTGGATGCACATTCCAAGCAGGCGTTGTGGTGGCCCTCGATTTGGTGTTCTCCTCCCCAAGTGGTTTGTTAGTTTGACTTGATTTGCGCTGTCCATTTCTAATACATGAAAATGAATGGCATCGGTTCATTGTCCCCACAAGAAGAATAACTGATAACCTTCCATGATCAAACCCTAAGATCTCTCTTGATTCTCAACATAATCACTCAGTGATTGTTCCTATAGCTTCTTCTAAGTTATAAGATCTTTTCTATACAGTTCAATGAGCATGGACTGTTTATTTCTTTCACAAAAGATCGAACCTGAAAAAAAACATTAGAGATTTTATCCATACCTTCTCCAAAAGGTGTGGCCTCGATTGGGCTTGACCGAGAGCTTCATCTTTATGTCAATATCCTCCTCCTTGGTTCAATTTGAACTAAAATTGATCCTAGTTATAAGCTAGACGAAATGGTGGCTTTGGGTTGGGGTTGGAATGGGTTGGAGGGCTCAGAAAGCCTTAATTTTGATTGAGAAGATTGTCTTGAGGCTCGAGGAAGTTTTTGGGAGTTTAATGTTTGAGTTTTGGAAGGGTTTATGCCGAGGTCGAAATTTGTTCTGAATTAGGGCAAGGAAATTAGGTTTTGCTAGTGGTGGCGGTAGCATGAGGACATGAGAGATTAATCGCCTAGGTAAACAGGGACATTTTCTCTGTAGAGAGACAGAGGTTCAGGAGGCTGGAAAGGAAGTTTGATAGTGTGTCAAGGCTCTCAGGTTCCTTCCCTAAGTAGCCATGAGAGGCGATGGGAGAGCTTAGCTATGATTAGAAAAGTTTGGGTTGCTCCTCGGAGAGTTCTCAAAGGAATTTCAGAGGATTTTGAGCAATGGAGGGAAACTTTTCAAGCTTCCATTGTGGCTTGACCATGTTGTTAAGCATGGAGATGAAAGCTGATTGGTGGCTTCTTAGGTGGATAATACAAATCAGATATGGTTAGGCTTGACCCATAAAAAATTGGTCCATGGCGGCTTGGGCTGGGTGGCATGGTCCCTGCCATAGATTAATCATGGTGGATGATACCAAGCCACCAATTAAGGGTTAGATTTACCCTGGTTTGGCTTGGTGTGTCATCCATGTGTTATGGTAAGTGGGTATTGGATCATAGGAGAGCCAATAGGAATAGGCCATGAGCCATTAGTTTGGGTTGGGTCTTCTCTTAGGGTTTTGAATTTGGGCTAAATGGAATGCTTTTTTCCTTTGTTTAGACCCTAATGGAATTTAAAAATCAACCTAATAAATTAAGTAATTAATTGATTAAGTGAACTATGGGGGTTGGCCTCATGGTGGTAATTTGGTCAACCACATGGTGTGGTATCATGATCATGTTGGGTGGACTTCGATGAATGGGGATATGGTCAATTGGTCCAAATTTGATCAAAATTAGGGTAGACCCAATTGATTTTGACCATCCCAAGTTGTCATCACATTTTGGGGTCAAAATGACACATTAGGGTTTATGGAGATTTTTATGGTTTGATAAGGTTAGTGAGGACTTAGGTGAGGCTAGGGTTCAATTTAGGTAGACTCCTCCCTCAAGATGGGTTTCATGGTCAAAGTGGGTCCCAGGGTCCATAAGAAAGTACCTAGTGTTTTGGTTGGTGTTTTGGCTGATTTGGGTGACCTAGGACATGTCTAGCCCATGGTGGTCAATTTGGGTTCCTTACCTGGTCTAAACCCTAAACACACTCAACCAAGGGTTGGGGTCTTGGGGTTGCATTGGTGGAGCCAAAGAAGCACAACTCTGGTCTAGGGTCAAGTGCAAGTTGGTGGGGTGAGTCCTCACAAAAGTGAGGTCAACAAGCTCATATAAGACTTTTTTTAAGACGCTGACATGATTGGGTTTTGAGGGATCGTGGTAGAGCGATGGTTGGCTCATGATAGCCACATCATGGGCCCTACGAGAATAATTATTCAATTTAAGCTTATCCAGATTGGATCTTGTTGTGAAAGCAGATCTTAAAAATAAAATTAACTGGGCAAAATCATGCTTATGCAAGAAGCGAACCAATCAATGAAATCTAATTTATTTTTTCTATCTTGTGAATTTAGATTAACGATTTTACAAAGGATTGAATGTATGAAAAGTCATGAAAAAAGGTAAAATAAATATGAACAATTTAGGCATATATAAAGTTCTTAACTACAGTGAATTGATCTATAATTTTAAGGACATAAATGGTTCGAATTACTCGCCAAGTTTATTTTTGTTTACATATAATTAAATAGCAATTTTGTTTCATTTTTAATTTATCTAATAATATTCTCAATCATACTTTCGTTCCTATATTAAAAATATCCTGGAAATATTATTTCCTTCCGTGCAACTAGAAGTTCTATGCATTTCAACTTTTTGCTAATAACAGCAACCATACAATAATCTGACCCAATTTTTTCTGAAGAAAAGATTGTCCTAGGCTTCTTTTTAAGAAAAGATAATTACATTTTACAACAGTGCTTCATGGCTATTTATTATTGCAATGTGATTTGGAGTCCTAATTTGAGATGCATTCAGAGCTTTTTAATTTGGCAGAAATTTCAAATATATACATATGTATATTTAACGTTTTGTGGGTGGGGAGCAATTGCGGCCCATTTTAATTCATGGATTAAATCCTATCGATAATAGGGTTCGTCATCACAACGCACCATGCTAGAAGCCTTTAGGATTGTGGTTTTGTCATAGTTATTTGACTGTAGCTCAAAAATGAGAATCTTGGACAGAGCTTGATCATATTTTGCATAAAATAAAAAATTAATTAATATTAACTTAACACCACTCAAAATAATTAATATTGTAGTAAACATGAAACTTATTTTAAGTTAATTTGAGATTAATTTTATCCCATTAGTGTCAATATTTAACATTTTATGTCTACTCAAAATGACATCTAATATGCTTCGTTTGATGCAGGAAGCAAACCGTGTGCACATATCATAATAACAGGTTAATTTGCAGCAGGTCTAACAGATCTGCTATGTTTTTTGCCAAATGGCTTACTGCTATATCGGTTTCTGTAAGTTTATTTCTAGGGCATTAAAGGTAATTATTATTATTTTTTTAAATGTAAAGATGGAGGTAAACTCATTAAATTACGAATTGTTGCTGCATGTACATTGGATGAACTGCTTTCATGTATTCTTTCCTCATATAAATAATATTTAATGATAAAATCCATTTAACATATAAGTTGCAGTTTATAAAACGAAGACAACATATCATGAGGTTTTACATTGGCCGATTACTGCGACGTAAAGTGATAATATTTAACTTTTTCATGACTAAATCAGGGTCTGATTTTACTAAGCCTATGCTAGATAAATGTGTCAGACGTTTGCTTTGGTAGAGTCCAATACAATTCGGCCTCGAAGGGGTATGTTGACACATCAAAGCAACCTGGGTAATCCAAATGAGCCTAATTGACCCTAGGGTAAATAGAAGTCGTCATCACCGTGATGAACCAGAATCTAAGATTAAGGCGTTCCAATCCAAAAGAACCACTTCTGTATCGTCGACAAAATAGAATAGTTCCGAGCCATCAATGCTGCTCACTGACATACCCCCAGTGGTCGACTAGTCAATATTGTCTAAAATGCTTAAAGCTATTCACACTAGAATGATAAGTTATAGTCAAGCAGTAACACAAGTTTGTTTGCAGGAACTCCCTCCGTATTTGGGAACCACCCTATGCATTCAATGCTATTGATAGCTACAGCCTACAGGCCAACAAATTCGCACATATGACAAGTCGTTATTAGGCTTTGAATCATCTTTTAAGTCGATATCCTTACCTTCACTTATTAGGGGATCAGAGGGCAAGTCTTATGTAATTTCTAATAATATTGTGATATCGTAGGAGAATTATTTACGTACGGAAAACACACGTAGCTCTCCATGTGTAATCTCTCCCAATAACCGTTCAATAACCAGTGCGATGATTATTTGAGGATTATTGCAGAGTTATTTGGAGTCAATACCCTCAGCAGTTACACTTTCACATTTTCTTAGTGTTAGCGTATTGACTCCTAATAACGCCGAAATTACACCGCAATAACTCCCCAATAACCTTTGCAAAGGTTATTGAGGGGTTATGAGAGGAGATTACGCACGAAGAGCTGGAAGAGCTGCGTGTGTTCTCCGGTACGTAAATATTTAACATATCGTAAAGCTTCTTTGATGACCCTCATCACGTCACTTGTATTCTTCCACATCTTAGTCAATCTAATTATTAAGGTCCAAATGTTATTCTTAGAGAAAATTTGATCCAACATTCTTAAAAAATTAGACAGGCGACCATAAATGAGAAATATTGAGCTTTAAGGAATTTGGGACAAGTTTTTATTTTCTATTTTTTATTTTTATTTTCAAAAAATAAAATATAGTATTCAAAAAATAAAATATAGAACAAACAAAAATGTTCGTTTGCTATTTCATTATCTGCTTTTTTATTTCATTTTTAAACAAAGATATTTTTATTTTTCAAAAACACTAAAGATGAAAAATCTGTTCTTGGCGTTTTCAAACAACTTCTCCACTCTGATCTTTATCTTTGTCCGTCCCCGGCCCCCACCAGGTCCACGACCACGACCACGATCACGATGCCGTGCCTTCTTCGATGCCGGCTCCATCATTGATGCCTTCAATGCCGGCAAATCCGACACCGTTGCTTTCTTTATCGGCAACAATATGACATCTTGCCCAACGTCGCCCTATTTGCAATCATTGTTAAGTTCCCATGCAGAGAAGCTCAGACTTCTCATCAATCCTCTTCCGCTCCTTGCATCTGCCTATGAAGGCTCCTGGATCGCCGGTGTTGAGTAGCCTAGTGTCCGGAATTTCTATCTGGTGAACAAACGTAAGAGAATTTCAACATTCTGAGATCAGTAGTGTCAAAGCCATGAGGAACAAAACATTGGATGGAGGTGATGTGGTTTGCCAGAGGAAAAGCGGGGTTGAAGATTTGGAAGAGGGCAGTTGAAGGGATTCTGGGGTATGCGGATTGGTCAAGGAGGTAGGCCGCAGCCTCTTAGTCACCGGAGCTGGAGTCGTTTTCTCTAGTGACTGGTTTGACAGAGGCTTAAAACAAAACAAATTGTAAACAAAAAGTGTTACTAAACATATTATTATCTTATGTTACAAATAAAACAAACTAAAAACATAAACAAAAAAGCAAAAAATATCAAGTGATCCCAAGCATTCTCTAAGCATGTTAGTTGCCTTACAAATAATAACAAGATTGGAAAGAACCACTCGGAATGAAAAATCATAAATTTGTCAGTACCAGACGACTCATCCAAGCTAAGCAAAGTCTTATAATGATTGTCTGTGGTGCCTTAAAAAAATCTCTTAGAGGTGTTAATCATGTAATTATTCATGCCGATGGATCCACAAACTTTACTATCCATTAAAAATTATCAATTCTTCATTTTTACCTTTAACTTTAATGATCGACAAAAATTACTTGCTAAAAAATAGTGGTGATAACATTACGTGGTGAAGAGCTAAGAAGCATCAGCTCGATGAATGCTATTGTTAGAGAAATTTCTGAGGCAAGGTCTTTGATAAAATTTGGCATCTCTCTATACAATTTTATAACAATTCCTACTTTAATTTAATCACCTCTTCAAGAAATATTAATTAAACAATAATGTGTGGATTATTCTTTATCATAATCAAGGAGTCACCACTTGAGCGGTTATCCTACCTCCCATTTGGAGGCATCACCTCTTTATCTGAGTTCAAGAAAAAAATCTTGACCAAAATAAGGGCACCTATAGAAAACTAAAAAACATTTATACCTTAACAAAGATCAATTAGGGGCATGACGAGTCCCTAAAGTTTTTCATTATAGAAGTCTATAAGATATGTTACAAGGGAAATAAATAAAGTCAATTGCAGCACAATCTATGCTAACTAAAGATAAGGAAAATGAATTTTTTGAATATTGAATTAACTTGTTCCACCAAATCACTTCTGCTATGTTTTCTGAACCCAACAATAGCCATTACAATTTTATATGGTGCAAGAACATGTTACCCAATGCAAGTCGGTTATGAGACATCCCTCGATTACAAAACCTAAAGTAACTTCTTAGAGAGGGTTGAAGTACTGATCCACCAAATTTGAGGATAGACGAAGTGACATGCATATTTATTCAAAACAATAACTACATAGCCAATGGCCACAACATTTGTATTTTCCTAAAGAGATTAGTTGTCAACCTCACACGAGAGTGCATGATTATATAAGTAATAAAGGATTCAGTGGAGATCTATAGTATCCCGAAGAATATAAGTAAAAATATTGGTCTTGTTGATTATTATTCAAACTATCATAATAAGGTAATCACTAATAAGATACTGATATAACTTAAATTTATGATATTGTTCTAGTTAAGTATCATGTTTTATTTTCTATTTGTCATAATTTTATGCTTGTGAAGGCATTTTTGTAGTATTTTATAGTTTACAAAGTGTTGATCCTAAATGTCAGAGCTAAAACACAAGGTGAAAAAATTGCAGGTTTTGGTGACAGCATAACTACATTAAGCCTTCATGTAGTTATGTTGGCCTACAATGTAGTTATGCCGAGCGAGAGCATAACTACGATGCCAATAGTTGAAGGCTTCTTTTGGAAATAATATTCAGGGTCTCTAACGCTTTGTCTATATAAGGAGAGATTGGGCATGACCTTGGGGGATTGTTGACTGGTTGTTTGTTTTCTTCAGGTAGCTTTAGGGTTTCTCAATCAAAACCTAGGGTTTCCCTTCCTCTTTCCTTAGGATGAAAATTCTAGAGCTACTTTGAGTTTGCAGAGGTTGTTGATGAGAGAGAGAGAGAGAGAGAGGAAAAAAATTGAGGGTTATAGTTATGGGATATCGAGGAGGCTTTCATTGTATGATGAGGATTTGGCGTATTGTGGAGAACACTTAGCTTGGTTGTAAGTTTGTGTACTTTCTTTCATTCATATCTTCAAATTATTTAATTAAAGTTTCTGTGCTTTTCATCTTCATGTATTGTATTTGATTCTCTTTCACACTCTTATGATGTAAGTAATGGGTTTTTCTCATTATTTTCACATTGAGTTTCTTTTCTTATATTCATATTTCTTGCCCTTGATTCTCATTTGTTGATGTGTTAATCATTTTATCAAACTTTAATTGTAATATGATCAACTAGAAATATTAAAATCCCTATGACATATAACATTTTATCGGAAGAACAAATAGGTTAACACACATTAATCTAGTGAAATGATATATTGCCAGTAGGAGAGTACAACCTAGTGAGCTGACTATATGATTATCGGAAAATGATACTTGGTTTGTCCATTTTAATTGTAATATGGTGTCTAACTGTTCTTAACTCCTAGACATGGACTAAGGATAATTTTATCCCTAGTTGTCAACTATCATATAAGGGAACTCATATGAAAATACGACCGAACACTATACTAGTGATAATGGAGCACGTGCCTCGTAACCTTTGAATAACCTTTTAGATTTTCATAATATTTTCTTATTCCTACTTTAGGACTGTGGAACTTTTTTCTTTTGGTTAATTGAACTTTCAAACTAAACTTAGTAGTTTAGTAAAACTAAACTTCCCCTATTAAAAAAGTGATAAGCTTTCTCATTGGATTGATACATCGTCTCTAAATATGTATGTTACTCGATCAACACATATCCTTACATGATTGACTGCTTATTTAGCTGTAATTTCGGGCATCAAGTTATTTGTGTCATTGTCATTGAAGCGAGTTAATATTTTTTTTATTTTATAAGAAAATTAGTTGAAGAACTTAGAGTTCAGGTTTGATTTTTTTTCATTTTATTTTATTTTATTTATCTGTAATTTGTGACAGTTTTATTTTTTATGTTTTTTAAAAATTCAAAAATAGAAAAACATTATGGTATCTCTTATTTCAGTTCTTTTATTTTACATGTTATTTATTGTTATTAGAATACCCTTTCTATGCTTGTGATTTTTATTTTTCTTTTTTTGCATTATATTAAGGTCACTCGTGGAAAATCAGAGTTGTTTACATAGGAGATAATTAGCTTAAACTAGTATCCTTTGACCCTAAATAAAAACCCTTTCAAAAATTAGAAAAAT